GGGGGGGGGGGGGCGGGGAGGGGGCAAGGATGGTATACCGAGTCTTGGTATCCTGGTGTGGAGGGAGGGTCGGGATATAAATGTGGCGTGGTGGGGGAGGAGGTGACGCGAGGATGCTGAGGCCGTGGGGATGGAGGAACTGAGGACCTGGACCCGACGCCTGGAGCCTAGGAAGGAGGGGAGCGGAGATGTAGGATGCCGCGGCCCAGCTTGGAGACAAGGGCCTTCAGAGCTGTGATGGATGCATGGGGGTGGAGGTGGCAGGGGACAGTCTTAAAGGACAGCGGGGAAGAGCACATCCTCTTCTGCTCTTGCTCACCCTCAAAACGGAGAGGAGGAGGGAGAGTTGTGGCCCCTCCAGGGAAGAGAAGGAAGGGCAAGGCCTGATGTACCCACCGTCTCCCCTTCCCCCACACAAGCACCTAGCTGACTTCACCTGAAGATTAGGCTGCACCTACTCCTGCGTGTCCTGGCAGAGGTCCCTCTTCCCTAATATCTGTGATGCCCCCTAATCCCCTCCAGCTGTGATTTTCCCTGCCATCCAGCTGTTGCATCCCCCCTCCTCCATTTGTGTGAAGCTTTCTCTTTTTCTGCCCCCTCTTTGGCTCCCTTAACCGGTTTCCCGGGTCAGGATTCAAGAACCACCCCCCTTCTCTCATATACTCCCCAAACTCCTTGGCTTACAATACTGCCAGCCAAAGCCTTGACTGAGGGTGGAAAGAGAAGGGGGCTGCTCCTTAAGCTGTAGGAGGAATGCAGGGAGGGGTTCCACCTTGTAGCTCTTTATCTGCTGCTTCTTTGGCCTTCCAACTCTCCCAGCTGCCTGTGGCTCTGGGAGCTCTGATTTTTCAGCCAGAGGGTCATCCCAAGCTCAGGCCAGCAGAAGGGATTCAGGAAGGAAAGGGCCCAAGTGCCTCCTGAGCCTTCCTGTCCAGATACTGAAGTTTCTCTGAGTTCAGGGCCCTGCCCCTCTTGTCTCACATTCAAGAAGAAAAAGATATCTGGGCTTCAAGCTATCCCTAACCATTCCCACCCACTGTTGGCATCCAGAAAGACTCCAGTGCCCAGCATACTACATGAAAGCCCCCAGTGTAGTGGTGAACACAGGTGAGAAGTAGAAGGAAGCCGCTCAGGATCTTCTAGGCTTCCTCACTACTGTGGGTAGCAGAGCCTTTCTAAAAGGACAGTTCCCTAGTCCCTCCCCTGGGGGTGATAAGGTGGTAAGAGTTCTGGCACCCACTTCTGCCTCTCTGCTGCCTGTGCCTGGGGAAGAAGGAAAGACTGGGGGAGCCAGCTCCTCTGAAAGTCCCTGAAAGGGCACAAGGATGATCCTGTTGAAATGATGCCAGTAGAGAACCTGGAAGCTTCAGGAGTTCAGGAGGGTTGTTCACTGGCACCCAGAAAGCCTGGGGTTGTGTGTCCACCTGGTGAGCAGCAGCACTGTTCTGGGAGGAAAAAGGATCTCCAGGGGAGAGTCCCTGCCCTTCATTTCCATTTGTTCATTTAATTTATTTTTGGTGTTAGGATTTGATCTCAGGGCCTTGTACATGCTAGACAACTCTCTGTCACCAAGCTACATCATCAGACCATTTTTTTTTTTTAACAAATTTTGTTTTGAGACTGAGTCCCACTGAGTTTCCCAGGTAGGACTTGAATTTTGAACCCTCCTGCCTCAGCCTTTCCAGTAGGAGTACAGGCCTGTGCCCACCGGGCCCAGGCTGCATCTCGCTCTTTTTTTCTGCTCTTGTTTCTCTCCTTCCCTTTCTACCAGTATCATCTGTATTCCCTCTTGTTTTGAGGAGGAAAAGGAAAAGAAAGGGGCCGGGGCTAAGGTTGTAGAGCATCTAACAGGTATGCAAAAGCTCTGGGCTCCATCCTGAGCCCTGCCTGCATAAAGCTGGGCATGGGTATGGTGGCTTACTCCCCTCATCCCAGGCTAGGAAGTAGAGGCAGGAGGATCAGGAGCCCCTGGTCATCCTCGACTATGTAGCAAGTGTAAGGCCAGCCTGGACTACATAAGACCTTGTCTCAATTTTTTTTTTTTAACTTTGTGCTAAATACCATTCGCCTGAGTGCTGTTTATAGAGAGCATCCTGTGTGCCAGGTACGGGACCAAGTACTTTATTTTGGTTACTCAGCAGTGTTGGTAGCACCACTAAGTTAGCACTGTGTTACCATCATATCTGCTTTAGGGATGAGGAGATGGAAACAAGTTATTCAAAACCAGTTATCTTGCCATGGTGCTGGCATGCCAGTAATTACCGAACTGAGAAAATAATGCAGGAGGATCAAGAGTTGAGGCCTGGGCCAGCCTGGTCTACATAGTGTTCTCAGCCAGGCAGGGTTCTATAGTAAGAACCAAATGAAACAGAAAGCATGTGATTAGAGCTGGGACTTGAAACCAGGCATGTCTCACCAGCCTGTGTTCTTACCACCGCATCACATAAGGCTGACACCGTTACCACGACCCCTATATAGAGATACAGGAACAGAAAGATTGTTGACAAGTCTCATACTGCAGGCTGGTCAGAAATAGTGACACCCAAATAGGGTCTCTGATCCTGAGGCCTGTGATCCTAAGCCAGGGGCAGAAACAAATAGGTATTCCACAGATTTTATTACTTTTTTTTTGGGGGGGGGCAAGACACAAAAAACTTATGTCTTGTTTTATAGGTTAGCCAAAAGAAGGAAATTGATAAGCCAGGTATGATGGGAGGTGGAGACTAGAGGTATCAGGAATTCAAGGCCAGCCTGGGCTACACGAGACCTTGTCTCATGAAAAAGAGAAGAGTAAAGGGAGGAAGAAAAAAATGAAGCCATAATCTCACCAGCCTACAGTCACGCCTGATGAAAGCCCTTCCACTATGTGGTCCAGGCTGGCCTTGAATTCAAGATCCTCCCACCTTAGCCTTTGAGTTTCCAGGCATGCACCTGGCTCTGTTCAGATATTTTGAATGTAGAAGTTTTCTTCAGCTTCCAAGCCTACCTGTGAGGGGAAGACCTGGTGCTCCTGCTCCCTGCTTGTAAGACCTTCATGAGCAAGACTGAAAGTTGATCCCAGCTATCAGGAGAGGGACTTAGTGGTACCACTGCTTAATTGAACAGACCCCAGAGGGAACCAGCTAGGGGGTGAGGATGGGGTGCAGAACTCTAGGCCCTCCCTGTAGTCTGGAAGAGAACTGTCTGCAGAAGCAGGACAGGAATGGCTGGGACCTCCAGAATGTCCACTACCACTGAAACCTGAAATTTTTCTTGAGGTAGCAGAAAGTTGGAGACACAAGTCTCCCATTTTGGGAAGACAGAACAGCTAGCCTCTCTAGGATCCAGAAAGAAAGACCTGGTGTCCAGTCAACTGGGAACACAGGAGTCAGCATGGCTCTCTGTACTCCTACCTCCTTTTTTTTTTTTTTGCTTGTCTTTTTGAGACAGGTCTCCCTGTAGCCCCAGCAGACCTGGAACTCACTATGTAGACCAGGATGGCCTTGAACTCACAGAGATCTGCCTGCCTCTGCCTCCTGAGTGCTGGGACTAAAGGTGTGCGTCACCATGCCCAGCTCTACCTCCTCTTCTTAACCCTCCCCAGCCCATAAGGCTTCACCTTCAAGTGACCAGGGGCAGGCTGCTGTACTGGCTCTGCTCCCTCTCAGTGCATGGCTGGCTTTTTCCCTAAGCAGCACTAAGCCCCTTCACTGATTGGCAGAAATGTGACAGAAGTGGCCTCAGGGCCTGAGTGGCAGGATGCTGGGGATCTCTTCTCCCAGTTCTCAAGAGAGGCCATCTCCCTTTCTAAGGGCCAGAAAAAGTGGGAGTTCTTTCCATCTTAGGAGAGCCCTGGGGTCAGGTCCATAGCTCTTGTCAAAAGGAAATTTTTCAGGTGGGCAGGAAACACAGCTCCATCAGAGTGGTCCATCCTGCAAAGGTCTCAGAGCCAACAGGATTCCTAAGTCATAGTCACTTTTCCCTCTGAAGCCCCCCTCCTCAGACAGAATCAGAGAAAAAGGGAAACCTTCCCATCATGTAAGAAGAAAATGAGGTCCAGGCGAGAAAACCACCCAGTGAACCCAAAGCATAGACAGATGCCCCTGCCTCTGAGCAGAGCTTTAAGGATCCATGTCAGACAAACCTCTGGCCATTTCAATTCTGTTAGAGCAGGAGGGAGCTAGAGAGGGTTCACCTGCCACAGCCTTCTCTGGTGGGAGAGTCCAGAAGAAATAGGTGGAAGTGATCACCAGGCCCCACTCTGTAGCCTCCTCGTGGGTCCCTAAGAGAACCAACTGCAAAGCAGGGGAAGTGGGTGTCTGCCAAGCCCCTCTCTTGGCAGAGAAATAGCTGAGACCAACCACTCTGTCCCCTCAGAGTTTGATGCAGATGCACAGTCCACATTTGGTACTTGTGTTGAGAGTGACTGACAGAGATCCCTCTTCCCTATCCCCCAGGCTCTGCATAATTGATGGCCAGAGAGACAGGTCCCCTCCCCCAGGGTGACTGAATGTCTGGGCCTGGGGCTTCTAGTCTGCCACTCCCCAATGTCCTGGCGCCAAGACCCAGCTGGGGGACAGTGGGACACAGCTGGCAGGTCAGGAATAAAGGAAACAGAAAGGGGGACATTTATTGAGAAAGAGGAATCTCCAGTTTACCATGGCTCCCTGGAGACCTAAGCCTTCCCTCTCTTCTTCAGGTCAATCCAGACAGCTGTCATTAGCCTGAGGGTGCTAGGGTACCTGAGCATGGACAAATGCCCTGCCTTTCCTGGGTCTCCTTTCCTGGGGTCTCTGCTCCTGCTTCAGCTATTCCTCCCTCTGCTGTAAAAGGCTAGCTGCAGGAATCGAACCACTGGCCCTGGATATCACAGAGGCCTCAGGATGCCTGTGTGAGCTGAGGGTGGCTGGCTGCAAATGAATTTGAGGATGTCAGCCTCTCTTCCTAAACCTAGTTGCTAATCAGGCGACTGCTGAAAAATTCTTTCAAGAAGCCTGGCGGTGTGGTATGGAAAGCTCGGTTTCTAGACAGGAAAACAACTAGGAAGAAAGTGATCAATTTCAACTCCATTTTCCCAGGGTCCTCTACTTTTCACAACCATTTTTTAGGCCATCTCCAGGTTTGCCGCGGTGGTCTCTCAGCTAGTACCTCCTTCTGGCGCGCTCTCAGCTCTTGCTCGCCTTCTCTTTTGGTACTGCACCCCTAAAGCCAACCCCATGAAGCCCTCCTCCCTCCAGCCCCTGTCACTTTCTCCCCACCAGATGCCCCAGTTGAGTATTCTGTGCCCGCGGGATGCGAGGAACGTACGCGATGCTAGGGACACAGATGGAGTGGATGGCTGGGCCCGGGTCCGCACCTGCGTGCCAGCAGCCAAACGGGCAGCCC